GGGGGGGGAGCAGGGCTCTCCCCTGCAGCAGTAACCCCTGCCCCCGGCTCTTCCCCTCAGCTGTGGGCAGCCAGAGAGGAGGTGCCAGGCCGCAGGGGCTTCCCGGGCTACATGTACACCGACCTGGCCACCATCTACGAGCGCGCCGGGCGCGTGGAGGGCAGGAACGGCTCCATCACGCAGATCCCCATCCTCACCATGCCCAACGACGGTGAGTCCGGGCACCGGGCGCAGCACCTTTCATGCGGCGTGAGCAGACAGGATCCCCACAGCTGGCCATGGCCTGCCCCCAGGAGGTGACTGTACCCGCACACCTGGTGGGGGGGATCTCAGCAGGCGACTGTACCCGCACACCTGGTGGGAGGGATCTCAGCAGGTGACTGTACCCGCACACCTGGTGGGGGGGATCTCAGCAGGCGACTGTACCCGCACACCTGGTGGGAGGGATCTCAGCAGGTGACTGTACCTGTACACCCCGTCGGGGGGATCTCAGCAGGCGACTGTACCCGCACACCCGCTGGGGGGATCTCGGTAGGCAGCTGTGCCCGCACACCTGGTGGGGGGGATCTCAGCAGGCGACTGTACCCGCACACCCGGTGGGGGGGATCTCAGGGCGACTGTACCCGCACACCTGGTGGGAGGGATCTCAGCAGGTGACTGTACCCGCACACCTGGTGGGGGGGATCTCAGCAGGCGACTGTACCCGCACACCTGATGGGAGGGATCTCAGCAGGCGGCTGTGCCCGCACACCCCGTGGGGGGGATCTCAGCAGGTGGCTGTACCCGCACACCTGGTGGGGGGCATCTCAGCAGGCGACTGTACCCGCACACCTAGTGGGAGGGATCTCAGCAGGCGACTGTACCCGCACACCTAGTGGGAGGGATCTCAGCAGGCGACTGTACCCGCACACCTAGTGGGAGGGATCTCAGCAGGCGACTGTACCCGCACACCTAGTGGGAGGGATCTCAGCAGGCGACTGTACCCGCACACCTAGTGGGAGGGATCTCAGCAGGCGACTGTACCCGCACACCTAGTGGGAGGGATCTCAGCAGGCGACTGTACCCGCACACCTGGTGGGGGGGATCTCAGCAGGCGACTGTACCCGCACACCTGGTGGGGGGGATCTCAGCAGGCGACTGTACCCGCACACCTGGTGGGGGGGATCTCAGCAGGCGACTGTACCCGCACACCTGGTGGGAGGAATCTCAGCAGGCAACTGTACCCGCACACCTAGTGGGAGGGATCTCAGCAGGCAGCCAGGCCCACACACCCAATGGGGGCGCGGATCTTAGCAGGCGGCTGTGCCCGCACACCCGGTGGGGGGAGGTCTCAGCAGGTCCCGTGCTCACACCCAGCCACGTTGTCCCCCGCTCTGGTCATGATGCCTGCAGAGACGGGTGCAGCCAGACGCGGGGGTGTCGGACTCAGCTGCGCTCCCAGACAGTGGGGCTAGAACCGGCCCCCAGCACCCGGTGCAGCAGCTGCGAGCTACGCACACCTGCCGTGGCTTGGGCGAGCAGCGCTAGAGCCGTTACCCGCCCTGCCGGCCAGCCCGCCGGAGGCA